CGTCGAGCTTCCATCCCGAGCAACAAAGTGAATAGTATATATAAAGAATAAAGTAAAGCCAAAATCTTTATTTTTATGCATTTAGAATATTTTAAATAGTTGGATATTAAAAGCTGTATGAGTTGTAAGTAATCTTGCCAAAGGTTAAGAAAAAGGGGTTGGATGTAAGAAATTGTACATAAGATTGATTTATCACTGATTCTTATTGTAAGTAATATTTTGGGGCGGGTGGGGGGGTGGAGAGGGACGAAAGGGGCCCTAGCTTGTTCTTGTACCTGTTCATTGTAAGTAGCATATTGCAGCAACAATCACAACCAATACATCATTATATCGTAGTTTTAAATAAAGACAATTAAAGAACAGTATTGTCATGGTTTGAAAACCATGGGGAAAAAAAAAACTTTTTTTTTTAATCTGAATCAAGCTACATGTTATATATAGTATTTTTATTTTCTTTCATGTATCGCTGCAGTTTCCTTGTCTTAATCTATTGGTTCTAACACTACTGTGACAACTTAATGTATCCATATCTACAACCTGGGGCTACCTAGGAACCCATTTCATGTCTGTCTGTCAATAGATCTTGGAAGATTGGAACTTTGTTTTTATTTTTTATTTTTTCCACCAATTTGTGAAACCCTGTGGTTAAGGCTGCAGCTGGGCCAGGTTCTGCCTCTGGTGACTCGTGAAATCCATCTCATTTTAATTTTACTTTTAAACTTTGGCCTTACAAGCAAATGTAAGTTATATATATTTGTACTGATGATTTATAATCTGCTTTAACAAAAATAAATGTTGGTGGTAGAAGCAGTGTCTGGGCCAGCTTTATTTTTCCATGGTTTGTTTTTGGGGGTCGGTCTTTTTTGTGAGCAAAGACACCCCCGCGTGCCAGCCCCGCGGCCCAGCAGGGCTTCGCTCAGGGCCCTCCCGCCCTCTCTGTGCCCTGTTACAGGGCCTAGAACTGCACGGCCTGTCTTGCAAATATCCTTGCTGGTTAAAGCTCCAAAAAGGAGGCATTTACCAAAAACATTGGCGTCATTGGATTGGCCCCATCACAGCTCACACAGGCCTTAAAGTAACAGAGGAGGAAGAGGACGAAAAGGCAAACCAAAAGCCAGGTCTCCTCCCCGCCCTCCACCCCCACTAGTATCATGTAGCCCTGCCTCTGCATGGACTAACCAGGTGCTGCTCCTCGGCAGATATCATTAACCAGCCAAGGCTCAGGAGGTTGGTGTGAGGGAGAAGGAAATGCTGGAACCGTGGGACTAAACTAGTGCTACTCAGGCAGAAAAAAAAAAAACAAAAACCAACAATAAAAAAAGCATTTGCTCCTAATCACAAATCCAGCAGTGCGTGAGGAGCCACTGAAGAGCGCGTGGGTCTCCCCAGCTCAGCCCCTTGTGCCCCCCGCCGCCTCCCCGCCCGGCCTTGCTCGCTCAGCCCCTCGCAGGGGCGGCCGCTTCCCCCGGCTGCCGCTTCCCCGGCAGCTGCTCCGCCTGGGAAGGCTCCCGGGCGGCTCGGGCAGCACAGAGCACTGCCCGCTACCACGGAGCCCAGCTTTGCATTCAGTTCCACAGCACAGGTGAATGTAGCTTAATCTTCCTACAGACAGGGATGTTCAAACTGCAGCAGAGCAGACACTAGTGTTAAATTCACCGATATGGTCCCTGCCCTTTCGAGGGGACTGCACTCTTAGCTGTGTGTCGCTTTTCTGTGACGTGCTCCTGCCTTTTGCCCCACCACCGAGTCCATTCGAGCAGAGCCCAAATGCCCCAACGAGCAGTTTGTCCAGAACAGGACAGCTGGAGCACGGGGCACCACGGCTGCAGCCCGGCCCCCTCCTAGAAACCAAGCACACCCATTCTACACGTGCATTAAGCTGATCATGTCCAGAGCCTTTGGCATTCAGGTGGATGCTGCTGCCCAGGATTATGAATGTTCCCACTGATCTGTGCTTTAGTAAGACAGTCCCCATCTTCAAACACCTCAAGGGTTGTTTTTTAAGAGCGCTTTGCTTATGTGAGCACCTGGTCTCTGCCTGTTATCTACCCCCCGCAAAGAGGTGACAGGAGCCGTGCGGTGTCGGTGTCACCGCGTGCCGCAGCTATCGAGCTGCTGCCGCCGGGCAGGGGGGCAGTGCGGTGGTTCTCCCACCTCGGCAATCACCTCGGGGCGCCACTCGCGCCGCCCTCCTCGGCGCCAAGCGGAGCAGAACTCCCGGGATGGGCTCAGGCTGCAGGCGGAGGCGCCAGGACTCACGTGGGGCCGGGGCTCATGCGGGGCCGGGGCTCGCGCGGGCGCAGCTGGCGCAGCAGAAGCTGCCGTAGTAGCGGTTGCGGCAGAGCTGCGCCTGCACGATGAGCTCGCAGTTGGCCAGGTGCGGCTGGTCCACGCACTCGCTGCTCCCCTCCGCGTCGCTCCTCGCGGCTGCCGCGCCAAGCAGGAGAGAAGAGGCACAAACAGGTCTGCACAAAGCCCACCAAAAAACCCCTGCCCCGTCCTGTCCTCGGGTTTCCCTCCCCACGGGGCCCAGCCCTGCCGGTTCTGAGGGGGTTATCTGAAACACAGGCCAAGATCAAGGGTGAAAGGGCCCTGCTGACAGCCCTGCTTAGGAGGAGGAGGACAGAGTTTCTGGGCCTTAGCATCCCACAGGGCAGCCCTGCCCACCCTGGGGCAGCTCGAGGCCAGATCATCTCGTGGCCAAAGCAGCCATCGGGCGAGGGCTGTTTTGGCCTCAGGAGGTCAGTGAAGCCGGCCCTGTTCTGCCCGGGGCAGGGCCTGGCGCAGCCCCACACTGGCGGTGCCGGCCGCGGGCCCCGCGCGCAGCGCAGCACGGGCGGTACTCACGGGCGGGCGGGCTCCTGGCCACCCTCACGTCGGTGCTGGCGCTGACGGAGCTGCTGCGGCTGTAGGCGCTGCACGTGTAGGAGCCCGCATCCGCCTCGCGCGCCTCGCTGATCACCAGGCTCCCGTCCCGCGGCAGCTGGATGCGGCGGCCGTCCGCCCGCAGCGGGACGCCGTTCCTGCCGTGGAAACCCCTTCATGGCACTGCTCCCACCAGGCAGCTCAGCACCTCGGTGCTGCCTTTTCTTTTCTTTTTTTTTTTTTCCTTCTTATTTTTTGTGCGAGAGAGAGGTGAATTTCTACAAATTCAGTGCACAGGAAGAGGAATTTTTTTTTGCCATGGCTCTGCAGTCAGGGAGGACCACGAGCCGGGGTGACGCTGCAGCCTCCTGGCCCTGAGGCGCAGCTGGCCGCGCGCTCTGTAAAGCCCTTTCCTTTCCCTCTTCTACACATTTTTGAGCCTTAGGGAATTAAGAGTTTGTTTCAAAAAGCGCTGGAGAAATCACCAAGATTGCGCCTGTGCTGTTCTCCTGAGACACTCTGTGTGGAGAAGGAAAACCACCTGAATCCCGAGCTGCCGAGTTACCAAGGACATAAAGGCTGGTTCACCGAAACAGGTTTCCTCAGCCTCTGAAATCTGCATGATCTGGTAAGCTCAAATACCAAATTCATAATGGAAGAAAAGCTCCTTTTGCCAGGATGCCTGCTCCAGTCCTGCTCCTTGGAGTTCAACAACTACCAATCCAACCACTACCAATCTGGGTACCCTGCAGGAGGCTCCAAAAAAAGAACTGATAATTTTCAAGTTGGAAAACAACACCAGATACCTCCCCAACACTCACGCATATTCACAGTTTCACTGCAAAAAAAAAGGGAAGAGGACACAGCTTTTCTCTTATGCTTAATGAAACTCTTTAAATTCCCTCTTGCTCCCACTTGAGAGCAGATGGAAAGAACTGTCCCAGCAGGAAGCCGGAGGAGGAATGGCTGCTGCTGTAGAGGCTAAAACGATGGCTGGATCAGCCAGGGAAAGAGTTTACAGAGACTTGCTAAGCGCCTTCCTCTGCTCACGCACTTGCATTTTTGCTGCTGCAACGTGACCAGCTCTGCCCCACGGAGCCTTCCTGAACCCCATGACTTCTGAGCCCTATTTCCTCTCCTCCTCACTTTGCTGGCCCGGGCCTTGGTGACTTCCCTCTGGGGATTTCGCTCGGGGCTTCTAGGAGAACAGCAAAGCCCGTTAGGGAGCACAGAAGGCCCTGGCTGGCTGGGAACAACCACGGCGCCCTGCCCAGCCTGGCAGGCACCCGGAGGGCATCTGGCCTGGCGGGAGACAGAAGGGAAGGAAAGGGAAGCTCCATCCAGCATCTCCTACCTCGACCAGCGTATGGTGACGTCGCCGCCGGGCACGGAGCAGCGCAGCAGGGCCGTCTCCCCCTCGGACACGGTGATGCTGGGCAGGAGGCCGGTGATGCGCAGCTCTCCTGCGCCAGAAGGGAATCACCACAGGCTGGAGGGCGGCCCCGCGCCGCCCCAGCAGCAGCAGCAGCGCGCCCCTGCCAGGGAACTGCTGCTGGCACTGGCACGAGGCACAGCTAGGACCCAGCGACACGTCTGGGGCCGCCGCAGCTATTTCTGTGGGGGGCGAGGGGCTTCCTAAGGCCTTTGTCCCAAGCCAGAGCAAGCAGCAGAGACCTCAAAGCGCGTTCCCCTCCAGCTGGACTCAGCTCCCACAGCAGCTCCTGTGCAGCAGATCCCAACACAGCAGATCCCATGTGCAGAAGGACTCCCCTCCGCTAGCTCCTGGAGCCATTCACGCGAATGGGTTTCCCCAGAACAGGGCCCTGGGAATCCCCCCGGCTGCCTGGGACATGGGTGCCATGTCGGTGCCACTTCCCCGGCCACGGAGCCACCCGGGGGCTGTGAGGCCAGCGGCGCTGCCAGGGCTCCCATGGGTGCACGCGGCCACGGCGCTTCCCACCCGCTACCTAGCGCTCGGAGCAGGACCTGGTGCCGGTCCCGGCCATGGCTGATGCACGTGAACAGGCCCGTGTCCTCGGCGCTCACGCGGCTGATGAGCAGGGCCCCGTCCGACTGCTGCCGGTGCCTGCGGGACAGAGGCAGAACGCTCCTGCGCTGCGCGGCCCGGGACGGCCTCCAGCGCCGAGGCCGGGGCCCGCGCAGCTCTGGGGCAGCTGAGCAGCAGCCCGGGGGGCACGCGGGGAGCAAGCCCTGCCCTCCAGGAGCAGCTCCAGTGCCCCCCAAAGCTCCCTGCTGGAGCACCCAGCACTGCAGGAGCCCCAGGGTTTTCTCCAGTAAACGAGGCCCCTCAAGCACAGACCGGCTGCTTTTTGGCAGACTGGCCCGCCTGCCTGGTGCTTTGTCCCCGCCAGCCCTGCAGCTGCACAAGCGCCAGCGTGGGCTCGGCCCGCGCCGCACGGCAGCTGCTGCCAGGGCTCCGTGTGCCGGGGCTCCACGCACAGGGCTCCATCCGGCAGCGCCGCCGGCGCAGGGTCGGTGCCGGCGGCTCCGCGCGCTCCGGCCACGCGGCCGGCCGGGCTCACCTGGGCGAGGAGAGGGGCCGCCCGTCGCGGTGCCACTCCACGGCGCGGCCGGGCGACGCTCCCGCGGCACAGGGCAGCCGCAGCCTCTCTCCCACGCGGGCCTCCACGAGCGAGGGCGACCTGCACGGCAACAAGTGCAGCACAACGCGTCAGCGCCGGCGCCCCGCGGCCTGGGCGCACCGCGGCAAGGGCACCCTCGGGCCCGCACACCGCTCATCGCCTCGAGCTCTCGGCTCTCTCATAACCACACCTAAACACCACTGCGGAAGAGAAGGAAACCAAGACGTTCCCAGAGTCAAAGAATACATTGACTCCCCCACACCCATCCTCTGACCCGAATTCTTCACCTCAGAAAAGCAAAATCAGAGAGCCTTAATTTAATGCTCTTAATTCAATAAATCACTTATTTCTGCAGCGGGGCAGAAGCAGCTAAGGAGGCTGCTGGAGTGTTCAGCAAATTGTCTGGGGTTTAGGTTGGTAAATTCAAAGGGAGGAAGGTGCTGCTAGCAGACCATGACCACGTTTAGTCGAGAGCCCCATCAGGCTGCATTCACAGTGAACAGATTTTTCCAGTAGGTGAGGAGATAGTTTCCAGTTCAAGCTGGTTTCTATCTTTTTCTGACTACCTCGGCTCGAGGAGCTAAGGCGGCAGCCCCTCATGCTCCTGCTTTCCCTGGAACATCATTCCTGCCGCCTCCTTGTGCATCTTTGCTCAGGACCTGCTGCTTGTGAGAGTCCCCGAGGAGGGAACCCGTCCTGTGGCCGGGCCCTGTGCCCACCTCCGTTGTCAGCAGCTGGGTAGCGGGTCCCCCAGCCGTGCCCCAGGAGGGCTGAGCCGGGACCTTTCCAGGCCCAGCCCCAGCTCTCCTACACGGAGCTGCCCTGTGGTTCACCAGCTGCGCACGGACCAGCTCTGCTGTCCTCGACCCACCTGTGTGTGGGGTGCTGCGGCGCGGCGGCCGCCGCCTCGGTTTCACCGCCTCCACGCTCCTCCTTTTCCCTGGGAGCAGCCCAGCCCCGCTCGCTCTCGGCCAGCGCCGCTCCCTGGTGCTCTGTTCAGAAGGAAATGCAGTGTGGGGATAAAGGTCCTTCCCGAGCTCGGGAGCGGACGGGAGCCAGGGAGCCCTGCAGGCATCTGCCTGCGGGCCGAGCAGCGCAGCCGTCCCTCTCGCTGCCCTCCTCTCCCCGGGGACAGGCCCCAGGGTCCCGAGCACACGGTGCCTCCTGCCCCGTGGCCACTGCTGCAACAAGACCAATCTCAGAGACCAGAGGCCACAGCCTGGCTGCTGGCCCATCTCTTAGGATTTTTTTTTTTTAAGGCATGTTTCTTTCACAATGAGGAGCAGTCTGTCACCCAGAAGGACCTGTTTGGGCAATGCACAACGCAGTATGGATGGCTCTGGCAGGCCAGTCTGTTGCATTCCAATGTGAGATGCAGGACCCAGAAAAGCACGGACACCCTTTGCTGGAACCTCTCGTCCCGGAGCAGGAGGGTGCCCGGGCAAGACAACATGATCCCTGTGCTGGAAATGGGGCTGGCAACCAGCAAGCCACAATCCACGCACGGGGTGGCACTGGCCTGAGGAAGCACTGTGGGGCCCAAATTTTCTCAGGAGGCAGCAGCAGGAGTCCCTGCTCTCCGGGGGCAGCTCCACGTGGCCAGGGGCTCGCAGGAGTGAGCGCAGGGCTCCTGCCACAGCTGGCAGCACAGGAGGCCCCAGCTGCTCCTGCAGCTGGCTTTGGCTGCTAGGGACCTTGTTAAGGGCTTTGTTGTTAGGGACTGGTTAGGAGGAGCTCGGGGCTGCCACTGTGGAGGTCTGAGGGATAAGTCACCTGAGATCTGTAACTGAACCTGCCGTCTCTCCGCTCTGTTCGTCCTCCCGTTGGAAACGAGGCACGTGTAAGTCCCTGCGTCCTCCGGCCTGACGTGGCTGATGACCAGGGAGCTGTCAGACTGGTGGCTGTGCCTGCAACACGGGCAGCCGTGAGCGCCCTGCCCAGCCCAGGGCTGCCGGCCCTTCCTGCTGACCTTACAACCAGCAACATGCAGCGCCTTCCGCTTGGGAAAACCATCCCCACGTACCACTGAGGAGTCAGGGAAATAACTGCCCGGGAGGGGTGAGAATGGGGCTCTGCAAAGAGGAGGGCTGAGCCAACCTGTCGGAGGAGACCGGCCGCCCGTCCTTCATCCACTCCACTCGGGAGAAGGGGAATGTGCCCATCTTGCAGAACAGCTGGATGTTTTGTCCCATGGCTGCTGTCACCAGAGAGGGTCTGCCCTCCTCCAGGATGGCTCTGAAAGGAAAAGCAATTTTATCACCTGTACCTCTGCTGCCCTCCTCTCCTCTAGGCCCTCTAATGACTCTGGAGGATGGCCACAACCCACAGTGCAAAGGAGGACTTGGACTTGCTGCCCTCCCAACTCACAGCAGATGCCCTGGGTAACACGAGGCAGCCCCATCCTGTGCAGCAAAGGCTGCTCTGGACACGGCAAGTGCTTCAAAGCCCCAAGGGAGAGGAAGGGCCTCCTCCAGCCAGCTCCTCTCCTCTAAAGGGAGAGAGCTCCTGGGGCCACAAGTGGTGTCCATGTACAGATCCAGCTCCATACACTCCTGACTTTCAGAGTGACACTGTCCATGACTCAGACTTTACACTTGAAAGTCTTCCCTAGAACAAACTACTGCTGCTCTGTGCAGCGCTGAGCAAAGGCTCCACAGTCAGAGAGTTAGCCGAATGAACAGGTCAGCACAAGCAAAACTCCTGGATTTACATTTACAGCAAAATAATGCCTCCCAAATAAGGACCCCAGCATCCTGCAGTCCTTTCACAGACACAATTCCCAGTGTTGTGGTAAAGTAGGAGGACTGCAAGAAAAGAGAGTCCAGAAATCCTCAGGGCCTGAATACCTTGATGTTACCTGTGTTCCAAAGGGACACAGACAGAGCCAACCTGTCGCCTGGCATTCCCAGCCAGCCGCTCCTGGATGGGGCAACACCACTGGCTCCAGGAGAAGCTGCCCCGGGGCTGCCAAGCAGCTGAGGGAGCCGCAATCACCTGTGCAGAGCTCGTGGCAAGGAGGAGCCCACGGGGCCCTCGGGCAGGGCTGCTCCGGGCGGCTCGGGGGCTCCGTGGCGCCGGCTCCCGGCTCCAGCTGCATCCAGCGGGACAGCCCCCGACCGGGCCTCCGGCAGGGCAGGCTCCTGGCAGGCCCTCGCACACTCCTCCTCCGAGGAGAAGCTGTTCTTGTTGCCGTGACAGCCGCCGTACCAGAACCGGTTGCATTTGCCGACCACGGGCACAAAGTACCAGCGAGTGCTCCAGTCCGTGCAGGGGCCGTGGGCGCTGGGCAGCAGGCACGGCACGGGAAAGGCTGCCAGGAACAACAGCACGGGGAGGGATGTTAGGGTCATGACACACAAAGATTCGGCTGCTTCAAGCTCCTGCCTAAGGGATCTGATGAGCTCTGTGGGCAGGGAGCAGGCTGGAAAGTAGGACACGGAGCTCTGCACCAAACTCTGCTTTGAACTCCTGTCAGCTGCTCGGGGATTTCTCTCTGCCCCAGTTTTCACACTGAACCTAGACTGACCAGACATCAGGTATGAGACTGACACTGCCCAGCCTCTCTGCAGCTGGAAGGTCAGGGCTAGGGCTCCCTGTGCCTGCAAGGGGTCTGCGACGGCCACTGCACATTCCCAAAGGGCAAGCGGATCAGATCCAGTTGGGAAACCTCCTGCATCACAGGGTACGTCCCCACACCCTGATATAGAGCCGACCCTGTAATCACCCCAATCACAGCCACATGCTGGCAAACATGATGCAGGGCTCAGACCAAGAGGCCCTTTGCTGTGCCTGGGCAAGGGAGAGCCAGAGACTTTTGCCATCCCTATGAGGAGAAAAGAGAGGCAGGCAGCAGAGCTGCACATCTGCCTGCAAAAGGCACATCTGGGAAGTAAAGCAGTCAGGATGTTCTTGCCAGCCACTCTGGCAAGTCACGATAAGGGCTGCTCCCTGCTGAGCTGAGGAGAAGGGTAATCCAGAGCTGAGCCTGGCCCTAACCCTCAGGGAGGCCCCACTTCTCCTAAACCCAGGTAGCTAACCTGGAACACTGCAGGCTGCTTCAGGGTAAATAACTGTCCTGCAAACTGGCAGAGGCCACAGGAATCTGATTCTGTTAACATATCAGTGGAGGATGACAAGAGTTTCTGTGGTAGGTGACAGAACTGAACCATGTGGCAGCTTTTCTGTGTCATCATGAGCCATCAAGCAGGACTCCTTTGGAGGAGGATGACTTAGTGTCATCATTTTCCAGAGAGCAAAGGCTCTGCTCAGGAAGTTTCCTGCTGTAAGGCCTGCTGAACGCTGTACAACTCTTCCAACATTTCTAAATCACTTACGGTAGCTGGGCCTATCGAGACATCCTTCCCCTTGCGGGCCCGAAGCTGGAGTGACGTTGTCAAAGCAGCAGCCGTAGGTGGACGCACGGCACTCGCCCGGGGGCTGCTGCTGGGCCAGGGCTGCGCTCACCTTGGAGACAGGGATGGAGGGCCACGTTACGGATGTGAGGGGCGCACGGCACCGCGCCAGCCTTGGGCTGCAGAGCCAGCTGTGCAGGCAGCCAGCGCTGCTCCGCCTGCCTCCCGGAGCCCCCGCGCTGCTGGGAACGGAGCTCGGCCTTGGGATGTGCTTTCCTCCACAACAGGGACCCGGCCAGCCTAGCAGCAGGCCAGTTTTCCCAGCTGTTGTTGCCCCAACAAGCACCCCAAGCTACAAGCCCCAAAGAACAAAGAGGAAGGTCCTCCCTGACTGTTCTGTCCTCAATTACTCTGCAGAGATGAACAACAAGGATATTTTCTAGTGGTAAAGTGCTTCCTTTTTAACCCACTGGAAAGTGGATGGCAACCATCTGCTAAAAAGAAATCTGACTACTCATGATTATTCAGCCAGTTTTACAAAAGATGCCTTAGTGCTTCCCTGAGAGCTTCCTCTCTCCTGCTCACACAGGGTCACCAATGGAGCTGCCAGAGTGAGCAGGAACAAAGTTGGTCAGGGAACCTGATGCTATGCACGGAGTACTGGTTCCCCATTATTACTGGCAGACAAGAAGTACAGCAGAAACCCATAGCCCGAGTCACCATCACCAGCTCTGAATCCCACTATCTGGCAGACTGTTAAAATCCAGGCAGTTTCTGCACTTACCATAGGAGCAGCTGCTGTGGGCTGACTTCTGCTCACTTGAACATCGCTGTAATACTGTGGGCATCCCGTATTGCCTGGGCCCTGGGCAGGCGATACTCCATCAGGACAGCATCCGTACCTGCCGGCAGAACACGGAAGGGCTGCAGCTCAGGTCCCAACCAGGAAGCCTCAGTGAGCCCCCAGGAAAGGCCATGCCTCCCTGCTCAGGCTCAGGCCTGCCTACTTGCAGCTACCTGCTGCGCTGGCAGGTGCCAAAGGGGCAGCCTCTGCCCAGAGGACCCGAGGCTGGAGTGTGCCCATCCGGGCAGCAGCCGTGAGGGCTCCGATGGCAGTCCTGAGAGCCTCTCCTTGCAGTGAGGTCCCCAGGGAAGCCCAGCTGGCGGGAACCCAATGAACGCGACTGGGGTTCCCAGCGAACCGGCAAGAGGTTGGTGCCATGGTCCTCAAATTGATTGTGGTGATTCCCGGAGCTACCATGGCCCACAGAGGTCCCAGGGTGCATCCTTCCATCATCAGAATCTGGGGAGAGAAATCCTTAAAAGCATGGAGGTAAGCACCAGATCCAGACAATCTTCCTCATCTATACTCTCTTTTACCAGCTACTGGGCAGGCACCCAGTATCTGAGCACCTTTTGCTCAGTACTCTGATCTGGTTATCCTACGGTTCTCTTCCTCACTGCCCTTGGGAGAAATCTCTGAGCACACTCTTTCTGCTGTCCCAGGAGAAACCAACTCCCACATTACTGGGGTCCTCCCACAGCGGATACGTGATCCTATCCTTCTTCCTGTGATCTGCATTAGGTAGCATTTTTCCCAGCCAGCATTTAAGTTGTGCTGCCAGAACCCAGATCTCTATAGTGCATGGTCTTCTGTATGTACAAATGCAGATATTGTTCACTATTGGTGTGAAGGAATCCAGCCTTTGTCCCTGGCTCGATGCATTTCTACAAGCTCGTGAAGAGAAGAATTGGAGACAAGGAGGAACAACTCCCTTATCCACCCCATTTCGCATCCACCATCAGCAATCCCACAAATTTTAATCCCTCCTAACCTGTGGCAGGGTTGTTTGGGTTGTAGCGTGTCAGCAAGGACTGCCGGGTGACATCATATCCCATAGTATCCTGCATGCTGGGGACCTCTGCAAAGACAGACATGCACAAAATTGGTGTGGTTACTACTAACAATTGCAAATACATAAACAGAAGACTGAGAGAGTCAACAGAAGTCAACAGGGCTCATGAATATGTTCTCCTGGAACAGCTCCTGACCAGTAATGGAACTGACTGGACCTGTGATGGGCAGGCAGACAAAGGTGAGCCTGGAGACCTTTCAACTGGAGACGAGATACAGGCAACAAGCAAAACCATCTGAGCAGTTGTCTGCTTTGTGCCTGATCCAGAGAGATGAGAATCGTCTACAGTCTGTAACGACTGAGTGTGCCAAGAGTTTCATCCTTCAGAACTCCCGGGGTCTGTCCACAGTATAAACTGGGCCAGAGTCCCAACAGAATCCTGAGTTCAGACCAGACATACACCAGTGCAATTCCCAAGCTTGTTACATATATTTCAAATAACACATGAATTGGGATTCTGACTTGAAGGCACCATGTTTCTGGGCACAAAACATAAATGCCACAAGACAGAGGTGGTCCAAGGGCAAGCTGAGAACGCAAGCTAGTGTGAAATCCAGGCACTTTCTGCTCCAAAGCGCTGAGCAGAAGCGAGTGCCTAGCAGCACGACTCACGCTGTGGCAGGTAGCACGGCTGCACGTTGCAGCTTCCCAGCGTGGCTGGTTTCTGCGGCTGGATGGCTTTACACATCTCAGGGCTGTAGAACTTGGAGTCGCCGTCAGCGCAGATGACTTGGCGCGTCCGGATGCCCGAGTCGCAGCTTTTCGAACACTTGGGCACAGAGGAGAGGCAAGTGAGCAGGCAGCAGAGATGGAAAACCCGTGGTCAAAAAGCTGCACGATCAGCTGCACACAGAGCACAGCTCCCTTGAACACGGCAAGGCAAACAATGCTCCAGCCGGATTCTTCTAAACATTGCAGAAACACATTTAAGCCATTTTAAATAGCTTAACTGTAGTGCCTGGCCCTGAATCACTGGGCTCTAAGCCATGCTCAGTCTCCAGCATCTAGAGGAGCTGTTCTGCTATTCCCAGCAAAGATGCAGGGAGATGGAATAAGCAGAAGTGAATTATTTCAGCCTTGCCTAGGGGCATCTCAGTGCTACTGCAATCCCCCAATTGTGAAAGGGTCAACTCTGAACTCCCCACTCACAAGTACAAGTATAGGCACCAGTTTACAACAGGAAAGTCAACTGGTGGCTTCCTGGCAAGCAGCTAACTGGAATTCCCCTCACTGCAAGCTGTGGGTGAAAATGGAGGCATGAACATCATCAGCTCAGGGGAGCAGAGAGGAAGAGGCATCTGTGCACCTCACCTGTTCACAGCAAGCTCTAGAAATGTTAGGAGTATATTTTTTTCTCTTTTACTCAGACACAGGCAGGAACCCTTCTCACGTTGGAAAGCCAGGGGTCAGGAAAGATCAGATTAAGGTATGCAACTTTTCTAGGTATAATTAAAGCCTTGCTTACACTGCACAAAGGACCAGATACAACATGTTTTAACCCAGAACAAGTTGGTCTGGCTAGCGTGGAAGGGAAAATGCTCTATTTGGAAGTCATATGATGCTTTGGATTTACCCCCATCTCTTCCCGCCGGCATTTTTCCCAGGCTGAAAACAGTCTGGCTCCCTCCACAAAGACACGGCTAATCCAGCTGCAGCCCACTTTATCTGGACAATTACAAAAACATACTCTAAACCATTTCACCAAACGTGATGACCAGCCCTGCAGCCCAGGGCACTAAGCCACAGGCGGTCAACGAGCTGCTCTGCTATTCACGGTGACGGCGCAGAGAGGTGGGAATAAGCAGCAAGAGTGGCTCGTTTCCGTTTACTGGCTGCATTTTGCTACCATCACCGAAACTGTAATCCCCCCTCAGAAGGATTTATTTTTGCAGCAGCCGCCAACAAAGCAGGCAGCAGATTAACTGCAGCTTTACTAGGGCCAGCTACAATGCAGCTGTGAGCCCGGGGAGCGGTAAGGAAGCAGGGCACGCTCCCAGTGTGGGGTGACGCGCCCCGATCAAAGCGGGTTTGCGAGGAGCGCGGCAGCACGAGGAGGTTTTCCCGAGCCGTGGAAGCGCAGCCCTCACCAGGCCCCAGTCGCCCACGTGCCAGCCGATCTCGTGGGCGCAGCTCTCCCGCACGCAGGGCTCCGTGGCTGCCGGCCGGGGCTCCAGCAGGCAGGCGAGAGGCTGGGCCTGAGCGCCCTGCTGCGTTCTGCACGTCACAGCCCGCGTGCGGACGCCCTCCCCACAGCTCGCCGAGCACTAAAAAACACAGAAAAACAAACAAAAAGCACCACCTCATTCTTCATTTAGGCCAGAGTACCATTCTGAGAAGGCTTAAAACAAGAAACTATCATAAAGATCATCCTCATAGATGGGTGTTAGCAGAGTGTTTGTTCATGCTGTAGAAGAGACAGGAATGTACGGCTAACTGGCCTGGGGAGCCCTGGGGTACACTCGATAATTTCGGGCAAGTCACATCTTTTCTCCCTCCCTCTGCCAAAGAAGGCAGAGAGAATGACCTGGAAAAAACAAACAAAACTTGCAAAATACATTGACAGCAACGGATGAAAGGGAATACCTGCGACCTAATGTTGTTCGATCCTGCTTCAAGTCAGTCCAAGGTAAAGAATTCACTAATTTGTGTTGCTTATGTCTTATGTCCAAAGAGCCTTTGTTCTACTTCTATAGTGTGCAGCTGTGACACAACCTCTATATGTAGAGCATAATAACTACTAGACAGTGGCTAGTTTGCAGAGCTTCTACTAGATAATAGTAACTACTTTGTGACATTTTCAGTGCCCTGTTAAATTCATGCCTGGAACCCAGCCTGTTTCTCCATGAATTACCAAGGTCTCTCTACAGAGAGCAGCAACTCTGGAGAAGTCTGACTGGCTTTACATGAGCTTCCTAGCTGTGTCTTAGCCACTCACTAGGGTAGCACTAACATTTTATTTCTAAGAGCATACAAAGCACAGCCACATTTGGGAACCCTAGAACAAACTGTTTAGGAATCCATCAGTAACATTATGACACTTGGGGACTTCCCCCAGTGGTGCTCACATTATGCAACCATGAAGTCATCTCATATTTATATTTTACATCTCACAAGACAAAAGGATTGTGCAGTCTAGAGTATCATGTCTTGAAGCTGCATTTTATGATGCTGCACCACTCTCACAAAGTAATACTGTAAGATGTTGAGTCAGGTGCTGTAAGGACACATGTACTACTTTCAAAAGAGGAAAATGTACTTGTGCCTTAGGGACTGACTAGACCCAGGTCAGTGAGATCTTCTGGCTTTAGAGCTAAAGTCTGTGGAACATCAGGTGCCTTCTGAAGGACTGGCTGGCAGCCCTGAACACGTGTAGCGTGCAGGGTTTCCTCTCCTGCGGATACAACTGCCCCCAGGCACTAACAGCACCGAGTGCGGCGGGGCCCAGAGGAGCCCTGCCCTGACACAGCCTAGAGCAAACACAGCCGAGGTGCAGGTCACCAGCAGCTCGCTGGCATCTCACCGACTGTTTGCACATTGCAGTCCCAAGTCCTGCGGTGCTGATGCAGCAACCGGCACAAGTGGGAGCACAAGCTCCTGCTCTCAGCTTGTGGGAGGAGAGCGCTGCAGACCCCAGCTGATGCAGAGCAGCTGCCACGTGAGCCCTGTGGCTCTGCTGGGCCCGGCTCAGACGCTCCCACCCTAGAGGCCAGCAGAAGCTCCTCCAAGGTGCAGGTGAGTGTCTCCCCATGCAGACTCACCTCCGACCAGGGCCCCGTGCTCCAGCTCGTGCACTGCCTCGTGTTGCAGGGCTGGCTGCTGGGGGGCTGCGGGGCGAAGGCCATGCACTCGGCCGCGTCCACGGCGCCCTGCGCGCTCTGCCCGTCGAAGGCCGCGCAGTAGACGGAGCGGGTCTGGGTGCCTCCGCCACAGGTAGCCGAGCAGGATCCCCACTCGCCTGTTTTCCACCTGCACGTCACAGAACCAAGCAAACAAAGGGAAATCCAGGTAAACTGCCTGGAGGCCCAGGACAGTGCCTATGCCATTGCAGACAGACGAGGAAAAGGTCCCCTTGCAGAACAGAGATGGAGGAGAGGTCCCATTTGACCAAGTGCTGCCCAGCTTAACTGGCAAACTGGGAGCAAATCCCCGACTACAAAACTCTTGTTTTTCTGCAGCTGCATAGCGCTCTCAGAGAGGGAAAAATCTCTTCCTGTGGCTTCGGGTGTCCTGATATCTGCAAAAACCTGTCACGCCTGGAACAGAACACCAAAGAATAAAAGGAAAACAACCCAGATTGGCAGAAAAAAAAGCAACCCACATCTGCTTAGCCACCTGTTACACTGCAGCACAGCAAACTAAACCAAGGCCTCCCTGCCTGCAAGCCATGCCAGATGTTCTCAGAAGCGCTTAGGAGCTTCTCACTGACAGCCGGTCAAAATCTGGTTTATTCTTTCCACTGGCTAAATTCAGAAGCTACCAGAAGCACAAAGAAAAAGCCCAGAAAACTTTAAACAGATGTTGGCCTGTGTGTTTGCTTGCTGCAGCAGCCACATAAATGATACACACCTACTAACATAATGGGAAACGTCCACGCAACAGTCGCACTGGTTGGATGCTAAATTCTCTGCCCTTGTCTGCTCCCGTGTCCTGGTCCTGCCCGGCAACTGGGAGCCACAACATCAAGACGCTTCATTCCAACCTCCAGAGAGGGACCTGGTCAAATGGCACTGGTGGCAGGGGGATGGACATCACGGTGACCTGATGGACACCTGACTGCTTCTCCTTGCACTCAGGTGAGCTCCAGCCAGGGACTGAGGACAGAGCTTCTCCTCTGAGCTTCAGAGCTTCTCCTCCAGTCTTCCTGCTGCTTCTCTGCTCTGCTCACCACCCTACTTAAACTGAGCTTAAGCCACCCAACCCGCACTCGTAGGCTACCAGAAACCCCACAGCAGCCTCTGTCAAGGGAAGACCACCGGCTTCTTTCCTCTGCTACAAAATAAGACATCCCTCTTATGGAAATAGGACTAACTACAGCAAGTAAAAGCCATTCAGAGTAGTCTAATTGCAGACTTCAGCACAGATTAACTGATCAGGATTTTGCAGAAGGTCCAGTGAGGCTAAAAAAAATAACAAAACAAACAAAACCCTTATGCCTTCTGTAAAGCACGTGTGAAGTTTTAGAAAGACTGTAACATCTGGATGGACTCACCTACAGCTTCCTTCAACTGTCAGTCAAGACATCTTCCACACTTGTTGCAGGCTTTGTGCAAGTCAAGGTCAACCATAAGGATAAGCCCTCCTTGGAGGGCAAAGCATGGCAAGCCCAAAGCGATTAGCAGCTTACTGGGAGGAAAACTGTTTACCTTTTAATCTTTTTTATTTCTAGCACCTCGGTGGACATTGTATCTGTTGCACCCTTACACTTATTACACTGTATAGCCACTTTTCTGCCAGCTATAGAACCTGTGCCATAAAAAAGAAGAGCTGAGGAACTTGTAGACTTGCGCCATGGCATTCTGGTATCATGGCCAATGTTACAATGAGCATCCCAAAGCCAATCCTCTTTTGTTTTCTCTAATATACCTTTTTCTTTTGAGAAACCAAACAAAAATCTTCCAGAACAGTCCTTCACCTCTCCATCCTGATACCAGAGAAAGAGCAACAACTATCAGCATAAGAAGCTAAAAGCTGTGAAGAAGCTGTCCCTTTGCCAGTCCCAGAAGAGTTAAATTATCAGAAGCATTAACCACCACCAAAGCAAAGCTACCAGCCAGCACCCTCCACCGACATTTTCATGGGCAACATCAAAAGCAAAGCACCATCCACCACTGCTACTAATGCCAAGAAGGAAAGTCCCCACAGGCTGCAGTGGCCAATTAAGTGGAGAGCAGAAGAGAGCAGCTGCCTCCCTGCGCTCTCTGTAATCTCCTTCTCCTTGTTACCTCTTCATCTGAGAGCTCCGTGCTCCACTGTGGTTCCAGGCTTGTGGCAGGTAGATGTAAGAAGTCCTTTACACACAGAACAAAGGATTTAGGGACTTAAAGCAAGGAGCTGCAGACTACCATATATTCAGAGATAACTCTAGGCCTCTGATACCCTCTCCCCCACAACAGTGCTCACTGTGTATCCTATCAGATGTGCTGTGAGAGAATCAGTTAGGGCTCCAATTCAGGCTGCTCACACAGGAACTAAGTAAAGCTGACTGCGAGGCAGCAGGGCCAAGATGGAAATGGCTTGGTAAAGGAGTTTGAAGGTGCTAGAGAAGGAGCAAAAATACAGGGCTCAGCCCTCTCCAAGAGCAAGGACACTAGGGATGGAGAAATGACATAGAATGACATCAGTTCAGCTGCTTTTTCAGGGTCCATGTGAAGAGAATGAAAAGCAGAGAATCTATCTCCCATCTCCTACGCAGGTTACATACCATCTTCCACAATCAGACGCCAGAAAGGAAATTTAATTGCACTATGAAATAAACACAGGATGTATCAGACCCATTCCTTGTGCATACAGAAATGCCCATCACAGTGACAGCATCATCTGCATTTATCTTGGTCTTTCTCTAGTAAGTGAAGACTTTCCTTGGAGAGCACTGTTTTGGAGGATAGTCCTGAAGGGAGGGTCGTTCTTTTTCCTGGCTCTGAAAGCTCCTCAGGAAGAAGTTGGAGTCCAGAGGAGGAAAGGAAATCTTACCGTTTGGTCTGGGGACAGGCCTGACGGCCACATGTCCGGTTATTGTCTGGCTGTGGTTTATTCCTGCACATGTAGTCGGGATAAATTTCGTTGTCTATGGTGCAAAACACCAAGCGAGATTGAAAACCTAAAGGAGAAGAGCAAGAGAATATCCTGATCAGTGCAAGCCACTGAGGACAAGGCTTGAAATGCACTGGCCTCCTAAAGTACTGCAGAAAACAGTCAGATGCAATTCTTGGCCTGTGACTATATGCATGAACGATGATTCCCCACATTACACAAGGACACAGGAAAAGAAAAAGAGACACACAAGAGTTCTCTTAGCCGAGGAGCATTTTCCTGCAATCTGAGTTTATCCTGAATCCCAAGGGAAATACCATATGCAAATACTCCTTATTAAGGAGTCTTGCTTGGTGTTTGCATTATACAACAATAGAACTGGGAGCAGATGTTGGACCCAGGGGGTCAGTGTTGCAAAGATCAGACACCGGAGAAAAATGCAGCTCTTGTTTCCTACAGGACAACAGTGCCCACCAAAGACAACACTAGTTCCTAGAACCACAGTATTGTAAAAGCTGCTGAAATGGCCATCAGAACAAAGACAAGAGGAGGCAGATGGGAAGTCTGCAGACCATCGAGCTAGGAGGGTGTTTGCAGGCAGGGAGGGAGGAAATCGTTTGCTTGTTTAGTTTTCTTAAAATCCATTTCTATGGTCATGGAAGAATATATAGACTCAGCATGCCATGACACACCAGGAGATCAGACAATCCCCCTGGAGAGAGGGAATCTTCCATGCTGTGGTAGAAGGGAATGATGGGACCTGGTGATGTAGGCCAGGTCAGCCTGGGGTGGGCTTCTAAAGAAAGCGGTCAAAAAGGCCTGAAAACAGTATAAAGAACTGAAGCAGAATAAAAGAAAACAAAGGCTAACTAGGATGAGTATTAACAGATCCTAGTAAAAAGTTTGAGGAATAGGACATTAAAAAAGCAGTCTAAACAAGGCAAGGGACAAGGCTCTTGGGACTCCATATACGATCCCCTTGGAGGAAGCCTTGGCAGTGTCCTGCGAGGTGGCCGGCAGCAGCCGAGCGTGGAGCAGCTGCAGAGGGCAGCACAGGGTCGCAGAGCGCGGTCCCGGCGGGAGCGCGCCGGAGCCGGCGCAGGGCCTCTTACCTCCGCCGCATTCCGAGCTGCACTCACTCCAGGAACTGTAGCTCCAGCTGTACCCCGCACTAGGCCCTTGCACTGGCAGGTAGTACTCATACTGCACCCCTGGGTTGGGCTCCTGACTGATGAGCTGCCAAAGCACGGGATAACGTCAAGAAAGCAGCAGCATTTTCCCTTTCTGCAGCATTTGCCCACCGTGCTGCAGGGTTCATGCAGATCTGCCTCTCTCTGGTGCAAGGAGTAATTTGTTCTCTATGCTGTATTTGCTCCTTGCCTTCCTTGATACTCTAGGGAGCGTCTCCTTTTCCAGAGAAGGGTGCGTTCACATTTCTCAGAGCCAGAAGATCCAGCTGCTCCTGTAACAGTCATTGCTCTGGCCTGGCCTGCAACAAGCAGTCCCTGTCCCAGCCCCTCTCTGTGCTGGGCACCTCTCCTTTTCTCTCCTGTACTTCAAAACCCAGAGGAAGGGGCAGGAATCCAGCCTTGCCCTGCTCCTTTTTGGGCAACAGAACTAAGAGAGCACTAACACTGCTAAGAGAGCAGTGTGATTTCTGCAAAAGCCCACGGTGCTTGCAGGCCTGCAGCCTCACCAAACTCCACAGAGCCCAGGCAGCAGACGCTCCTCTCGAGCCTTCCCCAGGCAGGTTCGCCACACAAGGCGGAGGCAGAGCGTGACCGCGGCGGGCGCAGCACCCACCTCAACGAGCAGCGGCTCCGTGGTGGGGCCCCGGGCATGGAGCAGCTCCGGGGCCAGGTCGCCTCCCACGCCGCGGTCGTAGTGCATCACGGTGCTGGCTACGTGCAGCGCTCGGCTCGAGTCGATCGTCCAGTGCCCGTTCAGGTAATACTCCCCTCGCACATTCTTGACAGCTGCACAAACCCACGTGCCACAGAGGAAAAGGGAGGAAATCAACACATTCATTCCATAATTTCATTCCATATTCCATAAGAACTCAATAGGGACACTCCTGTTTTCACTCAACACTGCATCACACACAGTGAGGCAAATAAAGACAACTTTATGTTTATGTTTATGTTATGTTTATTTAGCTTTCTGTGTCAGAAGGACTCCTTTCCAGGTAGAAAGTCTGTTTTTTTTTTGTTTTTTTTTTTTTTTTTTTTTTTTTTTTTTTTTTTTTAATTCCACACCCAACACCAAGATGATCATAGAAGACAGAAAGAGCTAAACCTGAAGCCCAGGGCTGAGCATCCCTAACATTTTAAGGGTACTCAAAATTCAGACCCAGAGAGTTCTTTCCTCTGCTAGCTCATGGCAAATATCTCAAAGCTCAGTGTATGTGAAAACCAAATTTGATGTGAATCCAAATGGACTGAAACACAAGTGCTGACATCAGTCTTACCCAGAAAGTTCCTGCTGGGCTTAACCTCCTTAATGTGGATGCTGGTGGCTCCCACGGGGATGATGAAGATCTGATTGTAGCCTGAGGAAAAATGAAGGATATTGTTCAATATCTGTGTGGTATACAGTCATTATGTAAAGAATGCTCCTAATTTCATTGGTGCCTGAACAAATGGAAGAGCTTTACAGTAGTGACTTGAAGCACTTAAGCTGTCACTCTACCTGCAGAGACTATCTGAATTATCTCACCCAATACTGGTGGACTGATATGGCCAGGTCCACATCCAGCTGCACAAAAAGTTGCAACTACATCTCAGATTTTTTATATATATGTTTTATATATATTCTATTTTGAGTATAACATACATATGAAAATATTTATATACATAAAAGTACATAATTTAAAGATTCTGTCCCATTTCCAGCCTTGCATCAAACTCGGCAGGACTGCCAAGACACTGGATGTGGGAGTTTCATGAAGGATGAATGTACGTATATCCATATCGTGCATTTATAGCAACTACTATTGAGACTGAGTGGGGAAAGATACCAGCAGCATAGGAAGTACATCAGTCTGTATCAAGGTCCCAGTGTCAGGCAGTGAAGACATTTCCTCGTACTAAAGCAGTTGCTGAGCCACATACCATACAGACAGCCTCTCTAAGTAAACTTCCAGGCCTGCCAATATCAATCAGGGGGGCAGGCATCTTCACCCTTTCTTTAGGCTTCTCTCTCCCTTCCTTATTTGCCCAAACTATCTACATTTGTACCTTTGGGGAGGTTGGCTACATCAAAATTGCCTTTCACTCCATAGCAGGTACTGCCATCTCCTCCACACTGCAGGCACTTGTCCTCCTTCTTGGCAGAGTCCAACATGTTATCACAGCCAACAGTCTGTCGGAGCACAGGGGCACGGATGTGGATAAGCCATAAGGAGGGAAGAAAGAAGGAAAGGAAAAAGAGGCATAAACTGCACTGGCTCAAATAGAAAGCCTGAATCTAAGGAGCTAGGGGAAATGAAGAGGAAGGTCAGAGGTAACATCTATCCCAAATCAGACACAGATAGATGAATGTTGCCCAATGTTCCTCAGCACCCCAGCAACTGAATGGGTTTGGGTTTTTTTGCTATTTATGAAGGGCCAACTGGAAGAGAGAGGAGTACCAGACTGACTGATGGGCATGATGGTAAAGAAAGAAAGCAACTGGGTTACGCACCTGACAGATTCCCTCTACACAGATGTCCCTTTTGCCAGGTTCACATGTAGTCCCATCTACTACTGCTTCCTTGTGCCTGTAGTAGAAGTTCTCGCCCTTGGGAATACAGTTTAACTCACACTTATTGGGCGCTGGTAGGAGAGAAAAACAAAGCAAATGAACATTATATAGCATAGCTAAGTGCATCAGGAGCCTAATTCTAGATCATGGGATCAGAAACAGATGGGTGGGCTGATATTAAGTGGCAGATTTTGAGCAAATTCCTGGGCCACAGAATGCTGGGGGCCTGAAAAGCACCTTGGGAAAGCCTTGCTGTATTCATCTTTTTCTTCAAACACCCCTCTTGGCCACTGCTGGAGACGGGACACTGAACCTAGTAGGGTTGTTCTTATGTCCATGGAGGACAAGCTGCTCTAGGGTGAGGACAACTGCTGGTGCAGGACACAAGGGAGCCATTATCTGAGCAGCTAGAAAACAAACTTTTCAATCCATGTTGAAATCTTTCAAAATGTGTTAAAGCAATCTGAATGATGACATATCAAAGCTCAGAGCTGTCTCTTGCCTTGCACACCTAGAGTCTTAGCAGTAGCAATGCTCTGGTGCTTGCAAGAACGTGTTCTTATGTGTAAAATCCTCCTGCTACACCAGACTGAGAAGTACCCTGCTAGAATCCTGTAGTCAAATGCATTCAGAGATGAAAATTAATCAAACATGTTTGTCATTACCTCCATAATACGGGAGCCACTTGTATTTCTTTCCTTCAAATTCTATCCCATCAAATTCTGCACACTGCTCTGCCCGAAAATCCCGGGACCCTTCTGGGCAGCTCTGTTTGAAGAAGAGAAAGGGGCATAAATTCTATCCTGGGACCAACTTGCTCTTGGAGTGGTATTGCTGAACAGGGTTCACAGTGATGTTGAAGAAAGAGGAGCTAACACTGGCATGCTACTTCTAAACAAAAATTATGATGCTTTGGGATGAGGAAGAACAGGAAAACAAAAATAAGAAACAGAGCCCAAACTGAGCACTGTACCTGAATATTGCATGAGCGATAGCTTCGAGCTGGTCCAGGGCAACTGGAGCCACCTTCTGTCCTGCAAGACAGAAACACAACATGAAGCTCTCTGGAGAACAGCTCAAAAGCAAATCAATTCACAGTAATCATTAACAATCATCTTCACATTGAGCATACAGACCGCACCTCCAAGAAGCTCCAAAATAACTAAAATGTACTTCTTTTGTATAAAGGTAAACTGGCATCTTTTAGTGCATTTCTTGCTATGTGTTCTGGCACAAATGAAACACACACCAGGAACCACTTGAAAGATCTTCAGTTTCCCAGGGTCATGTTCTCAGCACATAATGGGAGCAGAGCTTTTTTGTTCTCTGTCCAGCCTTTTGCTCCAGTGCAAAGCTAGGGTAAATGCTGTGAGCAGGAGAACAGTGGCCAATTCAGGAGAGGTACACACATCTCCTCCTCTGTTCTTCACACACACTATGCCCATTTGTGGGTAGTGCTAAACAAGACCCTGAAAAAATTTCCCATGTGTCAGAGAAACACATTTAAAAAAAGGAAAGAAGGGTACTCCTCACCTTTGGGAATAGCAGCGTCGTTGCCGAAAACTGACTCCCCCTCCACAGCTCCGACTGCATTCGCCCCATTCCCCCCAGCTGCCCCAAACATCAACCTGCCGCCTCATCCTGGAATCCTGGAAATAGTGAAGAAAGGCAGACTTATCAAACACGGCAGCACAGGGAGGAAACAATGAAAACCATCTAGAGCTTCTCGCTGCTCTCCTGCAAAATAAACTGTGTGGCTGAGTTGCACTGCTGCCAAATACAAAAGGCAGTAGAGAGCAGCAGAAAAGCCTCTTAATAATTGTAAGTATTGGCCTTCTGAAGTTGCATAGCAAATTCATCTCTGCAATCTTTCATAAACTTTGGCTGTTCCTAGAGAGAATCTCCTCACTTTTGCATAACCATCTGATTGAAGATAGCATCTCCCTCCCAGCAAAGCACTGGATAAAACCATTATTTCAGCGACTATGAGCACTGCCACTCGAAACAGGATCAATGGAGTCATTTATTCCCAAATCCTTGATTCCAAGCCAGATACTTACAAGAAATAAAGTGAGCAATAAGGCAATCCTTGGAAGGCACTTCATACTGAAAAAGGGCTCCATGCATGGTCATTTTTTCCCCTAGGGCCATTCACATATATGTCATATATATATATGAATATATATATATATATATATATATAAAAAATAAAGGTAATGCAAGCTGCTGGGGCATTAAGGCTGTTGGGGTAACAAAGAGCGGGCAGGCTCAGGTAGGCTCAGAAGGGTCAGGAACTGTCCTCCCATCCTCCGTTTCCTTTGCCCTCTAGTTTTAAGAGTCTGGTCAAGACTGTTGTTTGACACAGCAATCCACAGGGCTGCTGCTGGGGGTTACGTGACTCTGAATCCTAACATCTGGACCACAACAAGCCGCATTTCTCCTATGCCAGAAGGAATACAAGGATAGCTGCATGACCGACAATTTTATCAGTTGTCTGTCTACCCCCTTTGCTTTAAACAAGAAGATATGTGGTAATCTAGTTGTAGATTACATAGTCATACATCGAAAAACTGCAAAAGTCTATTTATGCTGTGCATCCTTCACTGCAATACCTGTGCAGCGAGACCAGCACATGTGGAAATCCTAAGGAAATCCTGGTCTCCTTTCCCACACGCCAAGGATGTGTCTCCTGTGAGGCTGTGGGTGTTGCAAACGGGTGCCACTTCGTGGTGCCAGGTTATGTTTGCAGTGCAGCTTCACTCACCGCGTGCTGGTTCAGCAAGGCCAACCCCAACATGGCTATTTCAGATTAGGGCTGTTATTTTGGTACACAATCACAACCAGTTATTGAATAAAAAAAAAAAAAAAAAAAGAATATCTTGACATGAAATTTAACTCCCTTCCACCTACCCAATTTCCCAGATTTTCATAAACACTGGGTCTGACTCCCAGTCCATCCCCTGTTTTCACAGGGCCTCTTTTAACTCGCATAGAGTAACTCCTGTTCCCATCCTCCCGGCCTCCCTACTTGCAGGGGATGACAGAAGGGAATGCAAACAGTGCATCCTGATGGGAGCTGCTCCCCCGTCCTCCCTGCCTAACCATAAGTTTTTGACTTAGAACTTCCTCCCTCCGCCGGTCTCTCACCTTCCTTTGCAGAATAATTCTCCTGCTGCTGGCAGAGCAGTGCTGCCAGAGGTGTCACCCCAACATATTTCTGCAGTTACCAAATCGTGCACAACTGCCTGGCTGCAGAATCACCGAAAATCCTGCTGAGTTCTTATTTGTACTGCTCTAATGTGAAGCATTGGTTCTGCCTGGCCTATAACATTCAACTTCTTTCATGCAAGCTTTGTGCAACTCTTTCTAATACCTCTGCAAGCCAAACCTTAGGGACGAGGCTCAGAGCAGCTCTGCCTGCCCTCTGCTCACCCAGCAGCACTGCCCAGGTTACAGGGGCTCCCACGTAACTGCAAGTCAGCTTCTCCCTGACCAAGCTCTTCTCTCTGCCAATCTCTTCTCCTGTTTCTTCATTCCAAATACCCAGTTTACTGCTTGTCTTTTGCAGCCTCATTTGCTTTCCCAAAAGTAGTCCTATCTATAGTGTTTTAGGTTTCTGCAAGGACTCTTACTTTCTCTGTATTTTCCTTGCAGGCCTCTAATTCTCCCCTCTGTAATTCCTGCCTCTTACTCCCGAAAAAAAAAAAACATCCTACCGATCTGTTTCTCTGCACTTTTATTCCTTTATATGAACTGACTGATTTAGGAGCAGGTTGCGCTTACTCTGGAAACAAGGGACCCTTCAGTCAGCAGAAGGGAAAAGAAAATACATAGATAGAAATCGAAAGAAAGGGCACTTGAAAGTCAGATTGCTGGAAGGCAGTTAGGATAGAAAGCCCTTCTCTGACAAACATTAATGTGATAAATACTCCAATATCCCTGCTAGAGAAGTACCATTCTTTATTCCTTCGATGGAAAGTAAAATCCATAGGGCCACTTTCTTGTAAGGCTTGTGCATCTGTAGAGTGCAGCAATAATTTTCTCGGTCTCCTTCCATTTAGGTGAATCCCAGAAGGAGCATCAGCCAGACAAGCCCTTCCAAAGCTGCAGAGAGGCAGAGGAATTTCCCACTGGGGCCCAACTCCCACGCTCCGGAATCTGTGCACAGCCCCTGTTACTTCAACAGCTGGGTGCATGTGCACACAGGCAAATATAAACTTGCCTATTTATAACAAATAAGAAGCCTATTATTATATAATCTCATAATGAGCTGGTTTTAGATGCTATCAGGCAGTTTCTGTCCCAACAGCTCTGCTCCGACTCTGGAATGCTTTTATCTATTGTCAGCGTGGATGACGAAAGCGCAGACCCCGATGGACCCTGGAGCTAAAAATCTACAATTTCATCACGGTTACTGTTTCACTCTGCCCCACTTCTGCCCTCCTGCAGTGAGGCACGTGTACAAAGCAGAGAGCCTCGATCCGAAGCAAGGATATATCTTAGCATATCAGGAAAGGCAGGGAAAGCACACAGCCATCTTAGTTGCTGAAAGCTCCAGCAGTCAAGCAGAGCGCCAGGGAAGACCTAATTGTTCAGTCCATCTGCTGCCACCACAGCAACAGCTGTGATATATCATGATATATAGACATGATATATCATGATATATAGACATATCATTATATATAGACATACATTGTGATATATATCAGATATGATAGCTGCTGTTATCCCAATAGCTACATTTTCCAGATAAAGCCATCAGTACACAGCAATGCTATTACCTTAAATGCAACAGGGGAAAAAAAAAAACGGTGCCATATGAACAAGGTATTTTTGATAATTGTCTTTACCATTGATCTTGGCTCAGACACAGCAGTCTTGCAAAGGGCCTTGCCAATAAAGAGTGCCAAGCATCATTTTTATGAATAATGAATAAGCAATCCAAGAAATGCATTTGAACAAAACAAGGGCTAAAAGAATGAGAGGTAACAAGATGGTGACAACAGGAAGGGAAATACAAATGGTACTGAGGTAAAGAACATCTTATTAAGACAACCTACTTCACAATCAGGAGGAAAAAAAATGGGTTTCATTAGCCCTAATGGCTTGAGGTTTCACTCACACTGTATGTACATCTCTCCTTCCATTTCCCTCCACCACCGCAGCCCCATGTGGTTAACATATCTCCTCTAATATGCCCATTAAAAAAAAAGTCCCTCAGTTTCCCTACATCTTCAACTCCCTAGATTACTCCAGCACTTAATCCACACCCTCATTATTCCCAGCTCTTTCTCACGCGCCCCATGTTCACTCCCAGCTCTCCAGGTCCTTTCTACATCATTATGGGCTATTCCACAGTGTACTTGGTTCCTACCACATCCTTCCCCACTTTCCAGTCCGCAGGGCAAGACGTAGTGTGTACTACAGACCCAGACACATCCTGCTTCATTGGACTGACTAGGTGACCAGCAGCGAGAGCAGAGAGAGCTGCTCATCAGGAATGGAAAAGGCCTTCCAGAGACTCACAAGGGTGTAACAAGAGCGCTCAAAGAAGATACGGCTGTTGCAGAGAAGTTAAATTAATCCTTTGCATTCCTGATGGAAGCTACTGGCAACTTCAGACAGCTCCACAAAAAAGGGGACTGTGAGAAAGTGTTATGACAACAGACTTATTCTGGAAAGGTGGACAAAACAAACAGCATGAAGTCACCAGCAGCTGTTTATCCAAGGGACCTAAAAAGAACTCTAGGTTGAAAGGTCTAAAGTATCATATACTAGCAGGGAAGCCTCTCGGTTCAAACCACTTTTGTACTTTATAATCATGAAGTGGAAAACTTGCAGAAAAATCCCAGGGCAACCCAATGAACTGTAACACTGATGCCTATTAGACAAATTAATAGAAATGATAACAAAGAACAGAATTGGTAGACATCTAATATTTATAGCATATAGTACATATATTTGGGAAACAGTCTTTTTAAAGACAAATCTTTCTAAGGCTATTTGAATTTTTAGAAGGGTTCAACAAAACTGTCAACAAGGCCAAATACTTGATATATTCAGATTTCCAAAAGGCTTTCAGCAAAATTCTCCATCTAAAACTCTGAAGGAAGCTAAGCACCTGGAAGAAAGCTCCTTGCATGGATGATAAATGGACAGCTTAAAGACAGAGAACAATGGCGGAAGTAAAAGCTCCACTGCAAGGACTGACATCAGCAGCAGGATTCTGTAAGGAAATGGTACTGTTAACACACTGATAAGTTATAGTGAAGACACAAAAATAACCAAGGAGACCCTCTCATGATGCCTGCATGTCTGGCAGACAGCAGCTGCACCAGCCACTCTTGATCCTTCCAAGGTTTCCCCTGTCTTCTACTTGCTGCTTTCCCTGGTCTAACAATCACCATGAACTGAAAACCAGTTCAACTGCTGCACTCTACAAGCAGGAAAAGAGATGAAAAACAGTAAGCATCAATCTACACCCTTTAATCACAAGCCAGACACAAACCCCCTGTGGACACATCTTCTTCATCCTCTTGTAAGCCTGCAGTCACACATTTATAGCTGTGCTCCCATTATCACTTCCAATCTGGGCATTTGCAAGCTCCCGCTTTCCTGCTTCCAGGGCAAAAGGTGTCAGCTCCAGAAGCAACTGGTGCTTGCATAAGCACACAGGGTGGATCTAGGGCTTGTTCTGGTGGGTTAAAACCCACACAGGTCGGATTGTGCCTTTTCTGCTGCCCTATTACTTGGTTCTGGCCTCCCTTTCCTCAGCATGTCTCTGATGCTGAAGTTGGTGGTGGCCACAGACCACCTTGCCCCATCACCACGATGCCTTCACGAGGAGCTCCTGACTGCACACAGGGGCAGGCCCGAGCGATGCGGACTGGTGTCTGCCCACACCGCTGTGGGGCATGTCGGCCACCTGCCTTTCACCTGTTTGGGAATCAGCAGAAGAACAGATGAATACACAGAGGATACTCATTTTCTGCCTCTTATAACCCACGGCACCATATTCTATCAGAGGTGAAGTGGCAAGCTCTTATGTAAGCATATTTCCAGATGTAAAGTACAAAGTCAATGACTACTAATAAATTCTACCCCATTTCTGGACTCTTAATCTTCAAAGAAGGTCTACAAAGTATTTGCAAATGATGAGTTTGGAAATAGAAATTCATAACCATACTAGAGATTAAAAGTTACGGACTCATTAATTTTAATGGCATACTCCAATGCCTCCCTACTCCCACCAAACGTTTATTCCAGGTGATAATTACCTCTTTTTTTTTTTTTTGACAGTGTCACCACTCCCTTTGCTAACACTTCCCCTCTGCTCAGCAGGTCTCCTTTTACCCGAGATTGTACAACTCATTACTATAACTGAAGTTAAGCTCAGAGAAACTGTTCTCAAACTGTATTCACTTCAGAAAGCTCCAATTTCTCTCTCACAAGGGAAAAATAAAGCAGCATTCAGAAGCTGGGGTTATTTTTTTGACATTATCAAATTGCTTTTTACTTCTCCCAAGAAAGCTTAGACCATATGGCTTAAGCCATTATGGCTATGCACAAAAAAAAAAAAAAAAAAAGAGAAACAACAGATTCAGGGATTCATTTTTCTTTACCTTAAGTGATAATTGTTTGTAGCTTTGAAGCAGAAGATGGCAATTATGTTTTGTAGATAACACCCTTAGAGCTAAGGGGCTAACTGAACATAGTTATTTAATTGCCATATTAAACTTTCCATAACATATACCACAATAAGGCGGACAATTTTAACCCATTTGCTTTGGGAGGAAGCCTGTCAACAAACCAAATGTTACAGAGGGCATCAGTCTTTAACAGAAAAAGCTTTCATTTGAGAGCGGTCAGAAGAACTTCTACTTACTGACAATGGAGAAGGTGGCACCATTGCTAATATGAGCAGAAGGAACGAGTTCTTCATCTTTTCCTGTGGAACAGAAAGATTAGAGATCAGAACTGCTTGTTTCTTTGCTGCTTGTATGGCTGCAGAACTAAGATACCAAAGAGTAGAAAAACGAAGGTGGGACTGAACTCAAGGTAAGAAAAACAATTTTAACACTGTCTGGATATACAAAGGCAATTGCAAAGACTGAAAATTACTCTGCACAGAGAGCCAGAATGTAATTAATGAGTGCAATTATTTCCCTGAACTTTCCCCTGGTATTACGAGAACAGCCTCCGCGGGCACAGTGGAGGATTCATGCTGTTGCTTGTCTGCTTTCCAACATTTCTCAAACACACGATAAAAGCAGTTCAAGATGATAATGACTTCAACCAACCCAAAGTGGAAATTTTCCAGTTAACATTTCTGTACTCTGTGTTCATCCTGGGTGGCTTGGGTGAGTTTTTTTTCCTCCACGCAGACTGGTAGGGCAGCATACAATGAAGTATGAAACAGTGATGAAATCCCAATTTTTAGAAACTCCTGCAATATATTTCTTGCATATTTGGGCATCAATACTATATGCATGTCTTGTTTATTGCTATTTTATTCTTCGTTTTTGAACTGCAGCAATCAAACCCAGAAGAACTCACTCACCAAAGCCTACGTCTGCTACAAGGGACATTTTGATCACTAAGAACTGCCTGTTTTGCTGACCTTTTTCTTGTTGATCGCTCTCCGAAAGAAGACACGGCCTAGGTATTTCCAGCACAGTGTTACACAATCCAGGCTTCTTTCTAACTTTGGAGAGGAAAGGGGAAAGGCAAGAGGGAGAAATCTTCCTTTCACAAAACTTAAAAGCACCCAGGAATAAATGCATATCTGAACTGCCTTTGTAACAACATCCCTTTTAATATTAAATCCTCATAGAAAACTCTTCTAGTAGCAAGTATTAAAACCAGATTAAATGTAGAATGTAACACTGATAAGTGCTAATTATTAAAATGAAACCACTAGGACTAGAATCTTTGCTACATGATAATATCAGACCAGAAACAAGAAGTATCTAAAATAAAACCCCATTAGTCTAGTACTTAGTATTTCCAAAATTCACACAGCTTGTTACAACCTGCTAAAATCCATTAAATACATATGTATCTATGGCATACTCTCTATACATAGACTCCCAATATCCAAAGTGGATGAAAAACTTTCTCTTTAATGCTTTCCCTTTGGGGTACAAAAATATAAATCCAAAAAAAAAGAAAAAAAAAGTTGCACCTAATTTGTTGTATACAATTACAACGTATGGAGAAAATATAATTAGAAAAGTCAGCACTAGCAAGGTTCTCTCCCTCTACAGAGGGAGCTAATCACATGATTCATAAGAAAATGAAGCTTTGGGGTTTTTGATGTGAACAGACCTTTATTCATTTTGGTTTGGTCTTTCTGCAGAAGGGGAGGTGCCTCCATGATGCACGTGCTGCTACCTCTCCTTCTAGTCAAATCAGGGAAGAAATAGCATGGACAATGGCCCTCAGCAAACACCCCTCCACAAATGGTTCAGTACATTCTCTCTCCTGTCCGGGTCAACAGCCAAAACACTGGCCAGATCTTTTCCACTGGGTAGAATGGCAACCAGGAGAGATCAAGAAACAACCCTTTTGCTGGAAGTTCTGTGTACAAAAAGAGCAAAGTTTTTCTGGAGCATCCAACACCACTAGTGAAGTACAGTGTGAGAACAGCATCCTCCTTATACACTGCTGCTCATGTGGTGGTGTGACACAGAGCAAAAGGTATTGGAGATTCATCAGCTTCTGTTCCTACTTTCCGGATAAAACCGGCCCAACATTTCCCTCTCACATTTTCCACCCCAGACCTCTCAGGTTCACAGAGCAGGCTGGGGAAATCACATCCCTGGCTCTAGCAGTCTAGCACTGCTGGTAACCTATGGCTCCTTAGCTCCTTCTTGCGTTTGAATCAAGAGGGGAACAGGGAGCTGGACTCAAACCTCAGGAGGCTCCTAGAGATGAGGCTAAAGGAGCAGCCCCCCAGGGCTGGCTGTGCTCCTAGTCTCCAAGTATTTAATATCCTGCAGGTTTTAGATCAGATCAAAGGATTCTGCGAGGAGACAACTAGAGAGAGAGCACCAAGCGTTTGGGGCAATACCTGCTCCAAAGCAACTGCTCAGTCTAGTGCTTGTTTGCCTCTCTCTGCCCTTGCACTCGCACGGGTATTACCTAGTCCCTGGCCCAAACTCAGCAAGAAAGAGATCATCATTCAGCCCTGTTAAAACGGTCAACAAATCTCAGGAAGGAGCGCTGGAAGAACAAACAGGGCCTTCCACAGTCGATTAAATCCTTCACTCCTGAACAAAGCTTATACCTGATCCTCTGAGCTTCAATGAATTTGTTATTTTCAAAGTCCTCTTAGATCAGCACCGATCCCTTTCTGCTTACTTTCAACAGAAACAAAACGGATAAGACCAGGGAATCTCACTGAAACCCTTAAGCGACCCAGTTAAAGGTACAGATGTGATGGCTCTTTAAGCTGCGGCTAAAAACTCCTTGCAGGACCTCAGCTACAGCAGCATCTGTTTGTTTTCCATTCTTCTCACCAAGGGCTGCGTGTGTGGGGGAAGGAATGAAAAGGACAGTGTTTTGCAGTGTTTTTGCTTGTGACAACAGCAGCTGCTGCTCTCGGTTCCTTCTGCCATTTCTTCATTCTTTTAAACCTCCCTAGACCCTCAACAGCTTCCCCGCTGTGTACTAGAACAGCATCTCCATCCACTCCCCTCCACCCAGAAACATTTCCTGAGAGAAAATGGTGACTTTATGCTCAAGATATGGAACAACTGCTGGGAAGCTCACACAGAGCAATTCCTGTCATAGTGCTAAAATCTGAAGTTTCACTTCTTGCTAAAATTAGCATTATGAAAAATATTTTACAACAAGAAAAGAGCAACCTGGATCTTCACCCCACGCTAGAGGGGGGCTCCACTTCAGCTACTCACAGTGGAAGAGATTCAAATATCCTAGTCAACCACATTTGTCATTAGCTGCTCAGGTTAGAGGAGCAAAAAGGATGAAGCGGTGTCTGCTTCTGGCACCTGTAAGCTTGGCCAAAAAGAGCAGGTCCAGACCTGAATTACACAGCTCTGTTCTCCAATAAAGGTTAACTCAAGCCCCTATGAACACTGGAGAAGTTTAACCTTGCTTCAGACTTTAGCATCTTGTGACCCTCACTTCTGTTCCCACACAGTATGGATCAAGTCAGATTTTGTGGAAATTTAAGCAGCTCATGTCTGGCAGTGTCCATAAAGCAGCTTCTTGAGCCCTTTCTGACCTCCTGGCATTTCATCACTCCAGACAGTGAAACTGCAGACTGGGATAAGCGTCCTTGCTGCAGGGCTTAGCACTAAGCCTACTCAGGAAAGAAGCTTTTGCCTTAACAGACAGAAGATCTAGAAAAGACTGATAAACATCACGGAGATGACTTCACTGTAGAGCAGTTCAGAAGATGCTTGGATCTATCAACAGACTTTACTCTCAGCCTTCAGTCCGAATCACAACAGGCAGATAAATCTGCACCTTCGTTTAACATGACCAACTCATATTGGCCCTGTTTGTACAAAGGACACTTAGAGCAGTGCCGAGTTCAGCAGCTCTTGGGGAAGCTACAGAGGCCTATAGAAGTTTTAATCCAAATGCAGAAATCACACAGAAAAGAAGTTGAAAATAATCAGATGCAAGAGCAAAATGAGGCTTTGGCAGCTTCAGACCAGACTGTGAATCACACAGAAATTGCAGTCAGGTCTCCCATGAGTAACCGTATCAGGGGGCGGAGAAGAGATCTGCTGCCTTCCCACTCTCCAACATCCACAATGAACGAGCTAAAGCTTAGGTCAGTAGTGCTCTATCTTCCAAGCAAATGCAGTCACTCTGCCAGCCCTTCACATGAGCTAATAAAGTATTTCACAAGGACTGCCTTCTGTCCTGCTATTAATATCAGTTGAGATTCAATTTTCTGTAACTAGCCTTCTCCTATTAGGTTTGCAGTTTAAAATTCACCGTAGAGCACAAAGATAGGATTCTGCCTTCTATTTTGGTACTCTCGCTATGTTTAGATGTTAATTAAATTCGTGAGTGTGTAGGAGGAAGACAGGCAAGTACACACAGATTAACTCAGTTAACATTTCTACAAGACTATATTGACTGCCTATGGAAAATACATGACAAAGATATAACATTCCAAGCATTAGACAGCCTACACTTTGAAGAATGGTTAAAGATCTCCTAAGTCTCCTCTCTCCCATCATATCAAGCTTGACTTAAATTATTTAGCCTGATTTGTAATATTATGTGACACTTAATACTACTAATGTTTATAAATATGCTAGTCAGTCGAGATAAACTCTCACTGACTTGAACTCCGGAGACTTTCTTGGGAAAGTAAAGAATTTCAATGCTAGATAACTGCTTCCAATTTTAATTTTGTTTTATCTGAATAAAGTTCCAAGCTGTGCAAGAAATTAAAAAAAAATTACCTCAAAAGGAAGCTTTAAAATAACACAAATTGTTTTCTGTATCTCTTTGCAAGGCCTATGTCTCTGTTCTGTGAGGGGAGGTTGTCATTATATTCAGTGGTAGCTTGCAGTATCCATAGAAGATACCTATGTTACCTTTAAATAAACTTGCTTAGAGAACAATAATTAACGTAGACAGGAAAACATTAGAGTGTTTACCTTAAGCTTCATGTGGGGTTTTATTGCTACTACCACCAAACTATTACTGGAACCTGAAGTATTTTTTCAAGCTAACTCAGGTACATCTGTATGAACCTGCAAACATGCCAGACTAGTGAGGGTATGCACATTCCCTAAGGAATCACCCTTGCTGCCTGAGAGGCAGACATACCTTTGGTGGCACGAAGCACGAGTTTCTCCAGAAGTCACTGGCTTACTTGCATTAATCTGCAACGGAATCATGACTAATGGGAGTACAACTTGAAAAAAGACTGACAAACTTGGGAGGCAGAACCTGTGCCAGTGTAATTAGGCCTGCAGTCTCTAAAGATACCAGCAGAGCATCTTTCATCTGTCACCAAAAATTAACTTCATAAAAAATGATCTTAGGAGGGTGTGATCACACGGCAGTGCCTGGAGAGATCTGAAAGGAAGTACAGGCTTGACTGTGTGATCACAGCAAAATGACAACAGCACGATCTAAAAATAAATGTGTTCCTTGCTCGGAAGCTGGTTTCTCCAACAGATGCCCAAACCTCCGATTACTCCTTTAAGGGCCAAGCAGAGAAATAAACAATCTGTGAATGGAACAGGCTTTCAATACATCATTTGTGCACGTCAAAAAATCTGGAGCTTGTTCTTGAGTTAGCAGGCAGCTACACACAGGCTACAAACACGAGTAGTTACAGCATCCAAATCCTTTCGCGTAAGTACCTCCTCAAAAATCTGGTAGCTGCTACTCAAGATAACAAACTGGACCGCAACAAACCACATTTCAGATCCAGTAATAGAATGAAAAAGAATGAATCAGTGAAACCATATCCAGCAGAATATCATTTCCAGTAAAACAAGTTCTTTTGACAAGTCCCTTGTACCACGGGCCTAGCTGCAAATGATTGTACAGAATTGAGTGATCATCCACCAGTGTCTACCCTCAGGTGGGAGTTTTTGCCAGGTACTCTCGTGCATTTGTCCTCAGTTTGTCTAACGCTTATCACAAAGCTAAGAGAAAAGGAACTTAGTTGCTACGTAGTTCCCTGAGCTCACTATGCCCCTGGGAAAACAGTTCCCTTCTGTCCTCAACTGACGATGAGCCTGTAACATAAATCATGGGAATGGCTGTAATTGTATCTAGCTGCTGTTTTAATACAGAACAGCAGCTTTTATGCTTTTAATTAAAAAAAAAAGGCGGGGGGAAGTTCTGTTTGCTGCATAGTGATGGCCGCTGCTGAATACTGATGACTCATTAAGGCACATACATGATCTAACTAAATGGTTAACACTTTATTAACATTTAAAGCCCTCTCCACTGAGCAGGGAGAAAGCCTAAGACCTACATGCTCAAGGCACTATTTAAAATAATTGCACCCAAAGCAGAGGCCTTCCAGTAATACTGAAGGGTTTTTTTTTTTTTTTTTTTTTTGTAGTCTCCCACTTTTAAAAGAATACCTTTGTTTCTTTGACTTTAAATACAACACCACTACGAAAAAGCAGTTACAACCACATTCCTCCTCTCTCCTTGTCTAGCTGTTTTCAGCAAGTCAGGACCCAGCCACTCACAAGGGCTCCACCTGAACCTTGTGCCTCATCTTGGGGGCAGGGAACCCCCAAGCAGCTAGACTAGGCAAGCTCTGCTGAGCTTCTCGTATATCCTGGTAATCCAGGATGGTAATTGCTGGACCAGAGAGCCCATCTGAAAAACAGGCCACAAGATCTGCACTAGAAGGTACCACACTCACTGAACAGCAATATTTGACGTTATCGGTTCTCTAAATCTCTTTCTAGCATTACTTAGTACTACAAGAATTGCTGCTTTCTGGTCAAAAGCAAGACTCCTTAATTTACATTTTGTTTTATATTTATTTTATATATAGCATGTGTATGTATACACACACAATGTATATACATGTACACACACAGGGTATATACATACTGTATATAGAGATATCAACAAATATAAACCTATACCTCCGCTTGATCAAATCTCAAATCATGTTACACACCTGTTCTTTGATGCTACATTCACAGTGCACAATTTACTAGTAAAATAGATACAGAATATACAAATGTTCCAAATCAGAAATCCCAACACCAGCATTTCCGTGAAGCCATCAAGCATTTACAGTCTCAAGAAGCAAAATATTAAACAAAGAAAACCCAAACACCTCTGAGGTGGTAGGGTGTTCCATGGTGCACAAGAAAGTCAGAATACAATTAGAAGAAATGCCTCAGTTATTGCATGTGGGACAAGGAAGAAGCAAAACTTCTGGAGACAGAAAATTTCATTTCTTCACTTTTGACTTTTCTGCATTCTACTGTTCATTCAGTTTAATGACATGAGCAAATACTAGTTTCTGCTAGTACTATGCCAAGGACGCACAGTTCTACTCACTTCTGTTGCACAACACGAACACCTCCCTTTGCTGCCTGTAACAGCAGGACATTTGTCCTGAAGAGCTGGATGAGGCTGCCCAACACACAGGGCTTCACAGCACCCTGGGCATCAACACGCTCCATCTTAGGAAGTGCAGGTTCCCTCAGCTGCTTCATCCACAGAGCCCATGAAATTCTGCAGAGGTTACAGAGCCTGAGATGGAGGGGACACAAATGCACCGCTCAAAGGCCAGGAGGAAAATGCCCAAGTTGTAAGGCAGAAGATGTTGAAGGGCTGCAGTGAATGCAGTGCAGAAGCACAAAAGCTTAGATGTTGAGAAGACATTTCTGAAAGTGATAAACAAAGGAGTTCAGAATACCCTTTTCTGGGTCTCTGCAGACAAACCTAAAGAAAAAAATAACCTTTCTCTGAACTTCTCTGCTAATACTAGTTATTCCTAGTCCTAGGAGTTCCATTCAGTACTGACATTGACTTTTACAAAACTTTGAAGCTCACTTTTTTTTTTAACCACCAGTCCACATGGCCACCCACAAGGAACATCAGGAAAGAGGGCAAATCTACCACCTTGCTAGAGTCCTTACCATCTTCTTGCCGTGACAGATCCCTCAGGCAATGTTTGAAGTCCACCTTACATATCAGACTTCCTCAGGGATGACAGATCACATCCTACAACAAACCTCTGCTTTCAAAAGCATCTCTTGAGTCCAACAGCATCATCTGGCTAGAAACAGCCTCCAAAACTGGTTGTCTCACAGCTGAGAGCAATGTGCACTGATCAGGAGACACTGCTCCCCTTCCAGGTGTGCCCTGTCAGCACTTGAGCAGAAGCAGCTGAGCACCCCAGGGGTGGCACTTAAGAGGTCAAGAGTCTTAGCCACCTGGGTAGGCTTTTCCTCCAAGCACCAAAAATCACGTTTGTCCCTCCAACAACCCTACTGCATTTGCCTTGCTTTCTGCGTTCCTGCTGCTATATCAACCTGTGCCTACCCTTCAGTGGGCTCATCCTGCACCCTATCTGATACCTCCCCTTCCATCCTTCCACCCCACTGAAATGTCAAGAACAGCAGTTTTGGTGTAATTTTTTGTGAGGGAGATTAGTGTTCACCAAATATATGGACTTCCTTCTTCCCTCCCTGCTAAGAAGTCTCATTTTGTATTTATAGGGACTCTGATTTCTCCTTTCCCTTAAATTCTCTCAACTGAAGAAAAAGGAAAAATGGTGGGAAATCAAAGTTAGCTTAAAAAAAAACCCATAAACAGCACAGAAAACTAATAGAAAGAGATGACCAGGCAGGGGGATTAGGAGAGAGCCCAGAACACAAAGCCAACTCTTACCTTCTGCATGTACCTGTTAATGGTGAGTGCAAAAGTTAGAGGCACTTACACCAACGTGCAGGCAAGCTCCAATAGCCACTTTCCCACTGTCCTGGTCCAAACAGTGGCTCTAAGACACTCTTCTCTCCAGCTCCTGTTTGGTTACTAATCCTTACAGCACAGGAAAGGGAGAGTTGGATTTCATTTAACCCCTTCACCTCCCAGTTTCTTCCCAAGCGTCTTCTCTTTCGCTTGGAACCACCAGAGCCGTCAGGACGCACACATGGGTGCCTTGGAGCGGCTCCCGGTGCCGCAGCCTGCGTGCGAGCGCACAGGCTCTGCTGAAAGTTACTGCGGGGTGGAGCCCTGGGTGCCTAGCTGTATTTTAGCTGTAGGCAGCAAATGGAGACAGTTATCCACAAATCCCTTTGGTATTTGTTTTTAGTATGCTCCTAATTCTAAATCAGAAATTACTTATTTTAACATATCCTTTGAATCTAAAGCCTGGATCACAGCTATTCTTTTAATGATAGAAAGTTTGAATTAAAACACAACTCACAGCTAGATGTGACTCTAGGCAGAGTGAAGCAGATCCCCAAGGCACTTTGGATATAGATCTGAATTTAAAAAAAAACAGGGGCATCTCAGGTTTCTGTTTTCTCCTTTAACATACACCATGCAACTCAGATGCCCTCTGTAAAATCCCAGAGAGGAACAATTGGGAACAGAAAGATTGCTCAGAAAAAAAATGAATCTAGTTGGACGCATTACAAGGAAAAACTTGTGCTGTTAATCATGTGAATAACAGAGAAATCATTGCATAAGAACTTACGTGTTTTTGTTGTTCTGTCATGAAAACAGATTGTTTTTCCCCCTATTGATTTTATCCTCTGCTTAGAACAAAGCAAACAAATGCTGAAGATAAAGATCATTGATCTATAAAAATAAATTCTGCTCCAGCAGTTTAACAGCTGTAAGCATTTTGACTTTACTTAAGTAACATGATAGAGATCTCCAAGATTATGAGAATAGCTTTAAAGTATTAAATCGAGGAGGGGGAGTTGTTTGCCTTCCAGTTTTTTATCAGTAATTCTTTTGCTTGAAATTGAGAGAAACATAATCTTACTTTCAAAAGAAAAGCTGATGCTTCTCCAAAGGAACTCCAAGTGCCGATTCTTCAAGGAAAACATCAAGACTTCCACTAAACTCTCCAGAACTGGTGTCACTGGTTTCTGCTCGTCTGTCTTACAGCCTTTAGACAATAAAAAGACACAGTGTCCTTGGCAACAGTTGATAAGCCTGGACACACACAGCTGAACTGAGAGTTTGTGACAGCCTCCCGAGCGCACCAGGTGACGCAGAGGAACATGTCCCACAGCAAGGAACTTTGCTCAGGGGCTACAGCTGCTCTAATCCCTTGGCTGGTCAATCCTCACCTGGCACTAGCCACAGAGGTACACAGCCACACAAGGTGATGAGTGACACCTCCTGACGAGACACAGTTCAAATGCACATCACCTCTTTTCCCCATGCAAAAGCAATCCCACACCCTCCTGCCAGAATGAATAAAGTCTGCACCATAAAGCCCACCAGGAAAACTAACACAAAACTGCAACACCTTCCCCAGGACACAGAGAAACCCCAAGGGCTGCAGAGAAGTGCAAACCGGCCGTGCTGATGCGTAGCTATCTATGTCTCCCTTGCCAGGAGGGACAACAACCAGGTGTTGTTAATGCTCACCTAAGAATAGGTCTTGCCTCTCTAGAACCAAATTTTCCTTTATGGAAAGAAAAGAAGCGTAGGCTTCGGGGCAACCTCTGGGCCCTCCCCATTTGCACAGGGACAGGGTTACACCAGCGCATCCTTTTTCTTTACCCATCCTGTGCTCTTAGTTGCCCAGTGGGTCCTGCTCCCCTGCCAGTTCTCACAGCCATGCCCAGGGCTGTACAGTATTGATCACCTCTCCACCAACCACCCAACCCTTGGCTGCCTACAGATGAACGAGATCGGTTTAAAGCTTTGGGAAGCAAAGCCTGGAAAGCCAGTCCCCAGGGTTCAAAAGCTAGTAGGCAACAAAAACAACACACACATACAAAAAACCCTACCACAATTCCAAATTTATACAAACCTGATTCCCAAAATTTTTCTCACGGCAGCAGGACCCTGGATAAGTGACTTTTGAAATGTGAAGTTTACTAATGCTGATGTGGTTCTTGTGTTGTTGTTGACAGTTAAAACTATGAGGGAGTTTAGAGAGGAGACGTGACTGCCCGTGGTGGAATCCAGCCAGGATACATCCACAGAACAGCTGTACCTACTTGCACTGAAGCAGATACTGCATAAACACATCTGGATTTACTTTTAACCCCATAAAGGCTTAATAGGTAACCTTCTGAGATGCTGAGATAAAACAAGAATTCACCATACTTACCACAGCTCAGCAACATAAAATGTTGATGGAACTCTTTTTATTAACAAAAGAAAAAAAAAAAAGGATCCTCTTTCTGCCTGATTTCCGTAGAGAGATGACAAGAGCAAAAGCTTTTAGTGGGGTATTTAGATTCAAGGCCAGTCGTTACCAGGAAAGACACAATGCAAATATGCAGAAAACCTTTGCCCTGTGGCTACGGTCCCAGAATCAGTTCTGTGAGTGCACCATTTCTCTGGGAGAAAGGACATGATCCCTGTGTTGAAAGTTTTTTCCACACCTAATATTCGGTGAGAGTAAAACAACCCACTGATCCACGTTCACTGGTTCTCCTTTCTTTATAAGGCGCCTGCAATTCACTATGGAATGAACACAGTCAGAAACACAGCAATGACCCTCTTGCAACTAGCTCCAACCAGCAGCTCGCCCAGGGGCACATGGCAGGTGGGTGCTACTGATGAGATCATCAAGAAACTGTTGATGTAAATGCAGAGAGAATGAGTTCTGCTGAACAAAATATCCCTTCTAATCCCACTAGTTTAAGTGCTTTTGGCAAGAAGCAATTTCTACAGGAGCTGTGATGCTGGGAATTCAGTAATTATATGATGGAGGTCAGTACAAGACATAACAAGACACTTGCATTTTCTTTTGACAAACTGCAGAATTACCTTTCAAGGTAGCAGATCACCTGGACTCTCTACTTCCAAGGTTACCAGTGATTGGTATCAAAGATTATTTGAAGACTTACATGCTTGTCTGGATACAGCTCCAGTCTAACTATGGTGTTAGACATATGGAAACCAGTGTTCTTAAGCACCTCCTTCAGCCTCTAGCTGAAGAGAATGGGTCTGTATCAAGATAGTCAGGCCACTTGCTGGAAAATGGGATGCTGGTCTCTACTTACCTTTCAAATTCACGTCCAGGTCTTAAGGAGTAACCTGATCAAGTGACAGTCTCACCAGACTTGAGCTTAGACCACTTCATTCATGGGGTATGGGCCCAATTCCGTGCAATCAGGGAACGACCTTGAGCAGGAATCTGGCATCCTAGATGAGTGTGCTGATCCCTGAATGAGAAGGTAAGGAAATAAAGGCTTCTGGCATGTCAAACCAAGCCTGAGCAGCTTCTTCTAGATCAGAGGGAAGGCGGTTGCCTGTGTATGAAGGTAACGGCTTCACTCCTGTCCAGTCTCCCTTCTTGAATGCTGCCATATAAGGCAGCCCAGAACAGTAAAAAAACAAGCCAGTTGTGAGTCATGTGCTATAATCTGCTCCAAGAATGGACAGGCTCACAGAGGCTTGGTCTGACTGAGTCCCATTTTCTTTGTCCCTTCCTGGCAATTGAGCCAACTTCTGCACTGTACTCTCCAAGAGAGTCTACAAATAAATTTGTTTTCTGGATTCAAAGAATTAGACACCTCTATCTCTTTCCAAGAGGAGACAAATAGTAAGCTTGTCACATCACATTTATTTTGATTCTTATCCAAATCAGGCAAGATTTTTTTATCAGGCTGACTTTCTGAACAAGCTAGTAATGCCACACAGGTTTCAGTTCTTCACCCTTATGGCCATTTAAAGAAGAAAGGAAGCACAAACTGATAATGTTGGTGTTCAGAAAAACAGAAACAACTACCAAGGGCCGTGACTAGTTCCAGAAAAACATCATTACGAAAGGCACTCCAATGCATAGTACCAATGTACTGGCACACAGTGCAAGATGCAAGTGAAGGCACTGATCCAAGCTAAGCATCAACTTGGATACTGGAAGACTTGGACATAAAACAGCAACGGACCTACGAGCAATGAAAGCTGCAATGGTTTTAAACTAGCCCAACTACTCCTTAGTGTAACCAGTGTAAACAAAATCAAGATGCAACAGAGTCTCTAGGAAGGGAAGGAAGACTGTTACTGTTTGCTAACACTGGATAATGGACCCATTTTTTCCAATGTTCCATCTCAAATCTTAGAATATTTACATCAAATCACTTCTCGGCATTCCTGAATATTAGACACTTAGAATATTGCTAATTATTAGGAAATGGATCAAAAGGGCACTGTAATCCCATTTTCTTTTCCTGTATCACGGATTAAGATACTGCATGGAGTGAACTTGACAGCCACAGAGAATCTCATTTAGAGAGATTAACATAGAAACACGGAGAGATCTGTAGGGTCTCCATTAGTCCATTCTTTGGTCCTTTGCTAAGGAGGATTTCAATTGGAATAATGACATTTAGCAAGCACACATTCAAAAAATATCACGTACATGCATTAAATGAGACTATTCCTTATCCAGAACAGATGTTTGTGTTTTCCTTTTATTATTGATTTTACATTTTAATGATTTATAAAAAGTATAAGGAAGCAGAGGTGGTGAGCAGTTTGGGGGCTAGAAAATCCGTTTCAAGAGAAAACATTTTGAGCTCTTACATAAATCTAGAGATTAACGAGGTCTTCTTGTGCCGCCCAGGCTGTCACTGGTGGTAAGGAGCACAGGCGCACGGTCAGTCGGTGGCCAAGGCAGACAAGCCTCCCTTTCCCCTCCGGGCTCTTCATGAGCTTCATCCCCTCGACCCCAGCCCGGGGCCTGGGCCCTTGATGAAACACAGACCTGGGGCAGAAACGGTTTCCCTGCTTCTCCCTTCCCTCAGCCCTCGCCGGGGGACGGAGCTTGCCAGGCAGAGATAATCACACAGAAACGCTTTGAAGGGAAGAAGGAAGCCGGCTACATCACAGCCAACATGAAGAAAGATGCTCCTGGAGCCATTCCAGCTATTCTCTGCTTAAAAATTCAAGCTTTTTCTCACAGCAACTTCTCCACACTTCCCCCCCCCCGAGATCTCCTGCTATTCAGTGTGCAGTCAGAAGGCAC